GTTGCAGCCGTCGTTGTTTGGTGGGCCTGGGCTGGGGATCCGAACCCGCCACCTTAGGTGTACATGGCAGGCGCCTTAGCCACTTGAGCCACAGGCACCAAGCCAACCTATTCATTTTTGAGGGACAGTTTCAACTTTCTAAAAGCATTTGCAAAGAAGTCTACTTGCTAAATGTTGCTAGTGGGGATTCAGCTAAATAGCCAATTATACCCAATTCTGGTAAAAGGAAAGAGGGTGGAGAAAAAGGCAATGGGGCAGAGGAGTGGTTAGGGATCAGGGTAGGCACATGGAACCAAGAGAAAAAGAGAAAGTGGTGAGAAGGAGAAAGGCACTTCCTTGAAATTTAATTTTATAACCTATTGGGGGGTCATTATAACTAAACTGGTACGAAAAACTTTTAGAGAAGTCATCACGATCAAAGTAATTCCGGTGAAAATTTATGTATCAACTATTACATCTTCTTAAAGTAACATTACTACTCTACTACTACTAATATAATTAAAAGCAAGATCACTACAAACATATAGGCCCCTCCAACATAAGGTAGTAAATATTTAGATGATCTTTCTGGATACCCTGTATTTCATAAGATTAATTAAATATTTTTTAAGTTATCCACATTACCAGGACAGAAATTAAAACTTTTGAACCTAAACTTCTTTAAACAGTACATATCGAGCTACATTTTTATGAAAGGAGCCAACAGCATCCCAGAGGCTCTGTATTCCCTGTGAAATGCAAATAAGAGGATAGAGCTACACAAGAGGTATAAAGCTTCTGACAAAATTCAATGTTTTGTATGTGTGTGTGGGGTCAGTTTAGATTATCTAGTTTGAAAGCAGCTTACCTAATCTTCATGCAATTGCAAAACAAAATAAAAATAAAAACAAGAAAAGCCTTTTTTGCAGGTGGAAGTAACGGCTACAATTTTAAAAAGAATGAGACTATCCTACTAGATGAGATCTATAAAAAAAACTCTCTTGACAATTAATATCAATGGAACAGAGCAAAGGACAAGATTGTCCTTCTTTGACATCAATTTCTAAGCTAAAAACATAATCCAAAACACCTAGTAGATGTGAGTAATACATTATTATACATCATTCATGAACTTAAAAGCTCCAAAACTTCAGATAAAAAAGCCAGTAATGATAACAATAACAGCTAACATGTAAAGAGTATTTAATACCAGCCAGGAAATGCTAAGCACCATTTTATTCCTTAACCTTCTTATGAAAGATGAGGCCTAGAGGGGTCAGGGTCTTGTCCAAGGTCACACAGCCAGGATAATGGTAGAACTCAGACACATTGCCCAGGTTTGCTTTACACCAAAATGTTATGCTCTTAACCACTCTCACCATACCAGCTCTCACTGTTTATATTTTATTTATTTATTTATTTATTTATTTTTGAGACACAGCCTCAAGCTATTGCCCTAGGTAGAGTACCGTGGCATCACAGCTCCTGTGCAGCAACCTCCAGCTCCTGGGCTCAAGTGATTCTCCTATCTCCGCCTCCCAAGTAGCTGGAACTACAGGTGCCCGCCACAGTGCCCCGGCTGTTTTTGGTTGCAGCCATCATTGTTGTTTGGTGGGTCCGGGCTGGATTAGAACCCTCCAGCTCAGGTGTATGTGGCTGGCGCCTTAGCTGCTTGAGCCACAGGCACTGAGCCTTATTTTTGTTTTTTAATAAAATGTTATGCTTAAAAGATATCGGTATCTTCTAAATCAGTAAATTCAAAAGCAATTTTTAAACAGTTTGACTTTTAACTTTTTTCTTCAAAATTTCTCCTTTACAATAACAAACCAAAAATAAAAAGGTAATCTTTTGAATCATGCATATTAATGATACATGCATAAATAATGATACATAACTAGTGATCTTAATTTTTTCTTCAAATTTCCTTGATAGCTTCAGTGTCTTAATTTGTTCCGCCCCACGGTTGATAGTATAAGACATACAAAATGAGTCTGCTTTGTCTCTTTTTTGATTTTCTAATAATTTGATTGTTCTAATAATAGAGGTTTAAATATAGGTACTGTAGCTTATTTTGTCCTAAATGCTTTTTGGAAACATCTTGAAAGAAACTACCAGATTTTCCATGTTTGTGCAGTGGGCTTTATTTTTTTGATGTGATCATCTCGTTGGTTTCTAAAGGATGATCAAACAACACCATAAAACTAGGTGATAGTCTCTATTTCTACTTAGTGTGCCCTATCTTTGCTTGTATTTTATCGTAAAAGAAATGGTATTTTTTTTTAATGTTTCTAGTCTTTCATTATTTGGAGGAATGAGAGAAAGAAACCTCTGCAGAAGGAACTTCATATTCCTCCCTACCGTGAAAAGAGGCTTCTCAGAGAAGGTAACAGTGAACTGTCAGACAGTCAAGGAGCAGGGTCCTGCACCTAGCTGGGAGCAGCATCACTAGCACATCAGCTAAGAGACAACACTCCCTCCATATTTACCTAGTGGCAGTGACCTGCAGGAACCTAAGCACTCACAGGTCCTCAGTATCCTAAGAACAAGGTAGGGATGGGGTAATGTGGTCCTTGCATAACAATGAGCTCCTTCTCTTTACTTTAGGAGTCAGGGAACAGTTCAGCCTTGTTTTCTGTGACCTCAGACCTTCTCCCAGTCAGGCAAGCTGCTAAACCCAACAGATACCTTGCTACCCGAAGTGAGACTAAAAGTAAATTAGTTTTTTTTCAATGAAAAAGTAAAATGGAATGGCTCAGTTAAACCCGTAAGTTAGTAGTCCTTAAAATTTGTGGGATAGTAGAACAAAAGAAATCTGGAGTCCATGGCTAAGGAAAAAAGTCTAATCATTACCTCCAGTAACATCAGAGAACCTCACATTGTTTGACTTCCCTGACCATGTGGCTCAGTTCCCATACTAAATGGTGCCCTAGAATCTTACCAACTCCGCAATTCAGATACTTTATTGCACAATATCTATATGAAAAACTGATGTGTGATAAATTTATCTGTGTGATAGATTATTTTTATTTCAGAGATCACTGAACAAAGGAATGATGGGATAAAAGAGGAACAAAAAAATCTGAAATGGAAAAGTTTCCTATTTGCCAACAAAAATAACATTGACAATTTAAAAACACACTAGGGGTAACTGAAATCTGCGCACCAAAAAAGTTTAGATCCTGAAAATTCACGTAGTAAACAAAGGGCTGCTGTTAGTCCATCCATGTCTTTACGAGAAGCGGTATAAACTTTCCTAACTTTAAAGTACCCAGCCCTGCCTCAAGTACATGGCTCAGTGAATGGAATAGAGGATGGAAATCAGACCCTTCTCATTCTTGTAGCTAGGCTCCTTGGCAGGGAACAACCCCTTCAACCATACTTGGAACGCTCAGCTGAGCTGAAAGCACTTACATCTAAAAACGTTAAGTTTAGTAGTATATAACATGACATATATTCCTTCCTCCTTTTCTCCCTCTCCCTCCCTCCCTTTCATCTCTTCTTTTTTCTTTAAGCAGGGTAGTGGAAAAGATACACATTTGTCTCTTAAACATAATCAAAGTCAAAAACGAAGAAAATTTTATGCAGAAGCTTCTGTGCCAAGGCAACTAACTGTTCTGCCTCCCACTATTGTCACATGACCATGGTATAATACAGTACAGAGAAGGAAGACGAAGGCATGCCGTGATCAGCTACTGATGATACTGCCGTTCACATTTAGGTCTGAGACTGAACTACATCAAACCATTTTGAATGTGTATTACAACATGGTATATAATTCTATGTATTTTACATGTAAATATAATAATCACATTATTATAAGTTTTATATATATATTATACAGTATAAGGACAAGTTACTGAGAGCCAGTATTCTTTTAGAAACAAATTTCTTTTTACCTAGCGATTTTGGTAGCAGATTCTTCACAAATTCTGCATGATCTCCCACGTGTAGTATGCTGTAGACACTGGTGTTCATTAATTCCTCCTGATTGTAACCCAAGTAGCTGGTTACATTCTCTGACACAAATACAATTCTCCCTTCACAGTTCACAACAAAGAAAAATCCATCCAAAGCCTGCAAAGCCAAAAACAGGATTAAAAGCTTGGAAGGTTACAAGAGTTAAAAAAATAAAATAAAAAGTAAGCATTTTATATATATTTATACATATATATATTAAAAAAGAGCTCGGAAATATACTTTAAGTTTTTTTTATTTTTGTTTTTTGAGACAAGGTCTCACTCTGTCACCCTAGATAGAGTGCTGAGGCATCATCATAGCTCATAGCAACCTCAAACTCCTGGGCTTCAGTGATCCTTCTGCCTCACCCTCCTGAGTAGCTGGTCCTACAGGTATGCATCCAACACTTGGGTAATTTTTCTCTTTTTCTTACTTTCTGTTTTTTTGTTTGTTTGTTTGTTTTGAGACATAGCTTGCTCTGTTGCCCTAGGTAGTGTGTAGCAGGATCACCATAGCTCACTGCGACCTCAAACTCCTGGGCTCAAGCAATCCTCCTGTCTCAGCCTCTCAAGTAGCTGGGACTACTAGTGCCCATTTCTCTATTTTTAGTTAGAGACAGAGTCTCACTCTTATTTCAGCTTGTCTGGAACCCTTGAGCTCAAGCGATCCTCCCACCTCGTCCTCCCAGAGTGCTAGGATTACAGGAGTAAGCCATCATGCCCAGCCAAATTTTTCTATTTATTTTTATTTATTTATTTTTTTGTAGAGACAGAGTCTCACTTTATCACCCTCGGTAAAGTGCCATGGCATCACACAGCTCACAGCAACCTCCAACTCCTGGGCTTAGGCAATCCTCCTGCCGCAACCTCCTGAGTAGCTGGGACTACAGGAGCCCGCCACAATACCCGGCGATTTTTTGGTTGCAATTTGGCTGGGGCTGGGTTTGAACCCACCACCCTTGGTATATGGGCCAGCACCTTCCCCTGAGCCATAGGTGCCACCCCAAATTTTTCTGCTTTTTTTTTTTAAATAGAGACAGGGTCATTCTCTTGCTCAGCATGGTCTCAAATTGCTGACCTTAGGTGATCCTCTTGCCTCAGCTTCCCAAAGCACCAGGATCATTAGTGTGAGCCACTGCACTTGGCTCTTATTTCAATTTTTAATACTGCATGTTTTCTGTGAAGGGGCCAGGGTTTTAAATGGACTATATATCAATGTTTCAAGTACACACAAATGAATATGTCAACCTTCTCCCTTAGAAATAAATTTCTAGTAGCAGATGTTACATAAGTAATTGTCCCCTTCATTCAGTCAGTCATAACCATCTCTAAACTGTAGGTTAAGACCTCGTCTCTGCTATCAAGGAACTTGTGGTAGAGTGGGAGAGAGAGACATAAATAAAATATCAGTGATAAATGCAGTGTATAGATCAGGGACATACAAAAAATAGTCGGCGAGCACACAGAAGGATACCTAATTTTGGCTGGGGTGGGGACAAAGAAAGGCTCCCATACAGACCCCTACTCAACTTATAAAAGGTTTAGTGGACGAGGAAAAAAGGACTAAGAGAAGAACCTCCTAGGCAGCAGAGCACGGCACAAAAAGGGGAGCAACTAAGCACTTTGGAGTTGCTGGAGTCTGTGGATAAGGCAGCTGGTGGCAGGGAATGAGTCAGCTGGTGGAGAGGAGCCAAATTACAGGGGGCACAGAGATGGTGGCTGGGGTCTCCCAAAAGGAGATATATGTGCCCTGAGGGCACATAATATCCACAGGGCTGCAGAAAAAAAAGTCATAACTTTTTCTTATATCATAATCTAAATCATTAGAAAAAAATTAAGTTTAATAAACACACTGACAGCCTGGTACCTCCTAAGTCCAGCCAGTCACATATCAGAAACCCCGGAATCCTGAGAGAAGATCCAGAATTCGAGCAAGGGTTGACAGTGGCACCTCACTTATTTGTAATCTTTCCATTAAATGAAGAATGCTGCAGCCTACCTATTGCAGAAGGCATATAAACAATAAAAACAACATCTTTGAGAAATAAAAGATTTACAGAATTTTTTATCGTGTTGTAGAATCACCTCAAAAAAAACTTTGTGCCACACAGGAGTCTGCTGGTTACTTGTGACACGATACTTAGAAGAGCTGTCCTACCGATGCTGACAGGCTACTCATTTTCCTTTTTAGAAAAGGCCAGTGTGCCAAATTTGCAACCTCGCAGCTATTTTCCAAAAAAATAAACACATTTTTTCTTTCAGGGTTAAGAAGAAATTTTAACAATGAATAAAAAGTGAACTGTTTTTCAAAATGACATTTATGTTACAGAGATAGCATGTGAAAGTGAGTGGTACAAAATGTCACCACGCTTAGAAACCTGTTGCTGAAAACAACGTGAATCACTTACAAAATTTACGTCCTTGGTTGAAAAAATTTAGAGCATTTTACCTGTTGGAAATCTTTCAATCAGAGTTTCAGTGTGCTTTGGCCCTATATTTAAAAAATGTAACATTTTCTGATTAGTTTGTAAGAATCACGTTTTAAGAACAAGGGATGTGGAATGGCAGTTAAAAAAACTGTCTAATTGGGTGGCGCCTGTGGCTCAAAGGAGTAGGACGCTGACCCCATATGCCAGAGGTGGTGGGTTCAAACCCAGCTCCCCCGGCTCGGCGCCTGTGGCTCAAGTGGCTGAGGCGCCAGCCACATACACCTAAGGTTGTGGGTTTGAATCTGATCCCGCCAAACAACAATGATGGCTGCAACCAAAAAAAAAGAAAAATAGCCTGGCGTTGTGGCAGGCGTCTGTGGTCCTAGCTACTTGGGAAGTGGAGGCAGGAGACTCGCTTGAGCCCAGGACTTGGAGGTTGCTGTGAGCTGTGATGCCACAGCACTCTCTACCCAGCAGGACAGCCTGAGGCTCTGTCTCAAAAAAACAAACAAACAAAAAAAAACCCCAGCCCCAGCCAAAAACTGTAAAAAAAAAAAAATAAAAAAAGAAATAAAGAAAGAAACAACTGTGTGACTGGTGGATAGGATTTAAAACTGAGTGTCATAATGTAATAAAGGCCCCAGCCAAAAACTGTAAAAAAAAAATAAAAAAAGAAATAAAGAAACAACTGTGTGACTGGTGGATAGGATTTAAAACTGAGTATCATAATGTAATAAAGGCATCCAATAATATACTTTCCCTTTACATCTACCTTATTTTTGTGAGGTATCTTTTTCACTAGGATTGTTATTTTTAGTTGACAAAAAATTTTATATACTTATATATACATGTCTTGAAATTTATAAACTGTAGAATGGCTAATTCAAGCTAATTAACCTATGAATCACATCACATACTTGACATTTTTGCGGTGAAAACATTTAAAATCTACTCTCTTGGCAGTTTTCAAGTATATAATAATTGTTACTAACTCTAGTCACCAGGGTGTACAGCAGATTTCTTTCTTTCTTTCTTTCTATAATACTATACGTATTTTTATGTCTAATACATAGTCTAAAAATTTACCAAATAACTTTGTGCATTACTACCTCTAAGAGTATCATGTACAAAATAAACCTCCCACCAAGTACTTGTAGAAACATGTCTCTTTACTTTAAGTATGTCTAATTAATATAATCTAGTATTTCTTGTTTTATAAGTTTCCCTCATCTGTTGTACATATAATTAACTTCCAAGTGTGCTTCTGGGAAGTACTCTTCCCATCCCTCTAAATCCTGACAGCTGGTCTTAAGTTGTGCTGCACGCAGAGACGCTAACAAATGCCTGTCCTTTAAATACAACATAATCAATCTGAGAGCTTTTCCCTCTGCCCTGGATGTCACCCTGTGAAGAGGACCACCTTGTGTCTCAACAGCACGGTTCACATTAACCAAAGCTTTTCACAGGGCTCTGGCTTTAATGAGACTACCATCCAAGTGTCAGTCACTTGTCAAAGTTCTGGACATAAAACACATAATTCTTGACAATTTTATAATCTCTGAGGTGTTAAAGACAAGTATACACAGTCATAATGAAGTACAACAGAACAAGTCACAAAAGTTAAGGACAGAGTGAGGCACCTGCGGCGGGAGAAGGACTGTCTGCCATTGGTGAGGTTGCCTGAAGGAGGCTTCTCTGCACCAGAGCCAAGGCTTTAAGAATACAGAGAAGTAACAGGTGGATGAGGGGTGGAAAGGACATTCAAGACAGAGGAAACAGCTCAGAGACTAAAAAAGAAGGAGAAGCCTTGTTATAGTACTTGTCATATTTGCGTTATATTTAACAGAAACAGCTTCAAAGAGAAGGGGAAAAAATTAAGAATTTATCCTGAAAGCAAAGGGGATCATCTCAAGGCAATGGCCTACGGATGAGGAAGGAGACCTGCTGTGAAGCCCCATTCAAATGAGAGCCTGAATTAAGGCAATGCAAGTGGAAGAGATGGAAGAGAACCTGACAGAGGCAGAAAAAACAGCGTTTGGTGCCCTGCAGCAGCTGCGGGAGCTGGGCATTTGGAGTGACTTCTCTATTAATGACATTAGGGTTCTGGCCCCTTCTAAGCCCCTTTCCCTCAGAAACAGTGGGGGAAAATAGTCTTCTCTTTTTCTCACCTTTCTTGTTCTTTTTTTTTTTTTTTAAAGGAGGTAAACATGGAATACAAATTTAGTTTTGGAAATGTTACATTTGAAATGACTGGAGCAGTCAAACAGATGTTTAAAGGCAGTAGGATATAATGAAAAAGAAAATTAGAAGAGAGATCTAGGCTAAAGATAGACCTTCACAATTCACAGGTATATACAGTAATCATTTGGGTTTCTCGTTTGTTTTTAACTATAATCGTCTTTTCCTCTTCCTAAAAATACTCCGATTTCCTCTGGGGAATTACTTCTTCTTCATTAAATAAAGCATTGTGGCATTCCTTAATCGGTCCATTGAGATTTCGTCCCTAACTGTGAACCCTGAGGTGAAGTACAAAAAACTAAACCTAGCTGAAGTACACTCATTCTAGCGAGGGGACACTGCCTGGATGGTTCTAATGAGACTAGTCGTGAAAGTTTTTACTTTCTAGACTCTTTAAGATGCCTGGGTTTCATCCTGCTTCCAAGCATGCTTCCAACATCCAAAATCATGCCCATAAATTTACATTTGCTTAAGTTAGTCAGAGTTGGTTATCTGTTGCTTAAAAGCAAAAAAAAATCTAAATGATATTACATAATATATATGAATATGTTATACAGACACAGACATTGATAAAATTTCCCAGGAAATGTTCACAGAATTAAAAAAGAGAAAGATCTAAGGCCAGAATCCTGGGGGACAATAACACTGAAGAGGCAGATAGAGAAAAAGAAATCCGAGAAGGAGGCTGAGAAGCAAGCAGAAATAGAGCACAGAGCACTGTCAGGGTGTGGGAAGTTTCAAGGAGAGGAGAGTGGGTAATCGACAAGTTGTCAAAAGCCACACAGAAATGTAGGGAAGCTTGACTGCACATGCAAGGTACAGGGTGACCTCCCGGACTGAAACAGAGACTTTTTCTTAGGGAGCAATGAGAAATAAAGAGGGGTAGAGTTGAATAAGCAGAGCTTTGAATAAGAGGCAGAGGAATTTACCAAAGAAAAGAAATGGTGCACTTAAAAAAAAATAATGCTTATACTCTATGAGTACTATATGCCATTTTTATCTCATATTATACCTTTCTAAAAGAAAAAAAGAATAAATTTAATATTATGTAATGAGAATTTCTCATATTATGATGGATATTTGATCAATTTTAAAATCTGGAGATTTCTGCAATGATGAAAAAAATATTCTATGCCTGTGTTGTCCAATATAGCAGCAATAAACCTCATGTGGATATCTAACACTTTTAGTGTGGGTGATCAGACTGAGACATTGAATTTTTAACTTTATTTACTTTAAGTTTTAATAGCCACAGGTAACTAGTGGCTACCATATTGAACAGTGTACTCTAGACCGTAGCCTGGATAATTTTATGGAAAATCTCTTAATAGCTTTTCTACCTTTCCTATCTTAGCGGACTTGGATTAAACTCCACAAAGTTTAAGTCAATAAGACAAAGTTGGGAAATAAAGAAAAAGAGATTTAAAAAAATATCAGTTAGGTTGTCAATGATGGCAACATCACGAGAGGGAAGTGGGAAATGAACATAAGGTACCTATGTACTTTCCTCTAGCAATTTATACAGGGTGGCCATAAAGTTCGAGTGCAATTTAAAATAGTGGCCACCCTGTATTAAAAATTTTCAAAATGTAGCAGAAGTTGAAAAAATTCACAATATCTGAATATCTACCACTATATATCCATCACTTAAATCCTACCATTAACGCTTTTACTGTACTTGTTACAACAGTTTTCTGAGATATGGTCAAGTGTCATGCAATCAACTTGACAGGATGTGAAAAGAATAAAAAAAAAATCAGTAATCAGCACCCATAACTATACCTCGGTTATGTGTGTATGTACTTGCTCAGAGAGCACTTTCCATTCCTGTTTCAATAGGTAATATTATTGATATTTTATAATTCTACAAAATTATGTGGATTGCCCTAATAAAAATCATTAAAACCAATAGAGTAGCAAAGCACCTGTATACTGCAGAGGGGAAATAAAGAATTTAGAGTTTGAGGAAGAAGTTACTAACAGGAGAGTCAAAAAATATTGAACAGCCTGATAAAAGTACAGGAATGGAAGAGTATGGGAAAAGATAAAGGCCAGACGTACATATCTGGGTCTTGTCTCCATTGCAAAGAAAAGTGAAGGGATGAAAATACATAGTATTTCGTGTGTGTGCATACACATAAATACACACACACACACATAAATATAGATATTAAATTAGGCCTAGAGATAGAAAGGCATATACTGTAAGGGATGAGTGTGTTTAAATATTCACACAGGAGAGAAAGCATTTAAGGTAACGAGGATGCTAGGGAACAAAGCATTTGTGCTGGGTGTACGTCAAATAAAGATCAGATAGGAAGCAGGTAAAAACCACACAAACTTAAAAAGTTCTTCATACTTCAAAGTTTGGTAGTTAAAATAGTAATTCTCTCAGAATGTTTTTTATAAGCAATTGAAAAATTCTTATTCAGAAAACTCTGAAAAGTACTTGCTACAATAAACTTAGGCATCCCTCAATTGAAAGTAAAATTCTATGGTATATATAAAGATGAACGGCTAAATAATTCTACTGTTTCATTTTCTCAATTAGTCCTAACCACCCCAAAGGCAAAGCCATACAGTAGTAGGCTTCAGTTTTCCCTCTGACTATTTAGAATGCCTTATGAAAATTTCTCATGTTCATTGTTTACATTTGATTCTGAAATAGTAACTGTTGGTTATAGTAAGTTGACAGTAATCAGTTTTCACACTAATTATAACAAGTTATTTAAAAGATTACTTTGTTTTGTAATTTATTAATTGGCTATAAGGTATAAAAGAAGATAAAGAAAAAAACAAATTTACTACAACAAAGATTTGATTTTAATCACCTTCTGTGACAATGAGGATACCTACCTCCAAAAGAAGAGGCCCCAAGGATTCCTTTTCTATCACTCCTTGACTACTTGATGAGATGTCTGATTTCTGAACATCATCATCAGTTGTTGATTTCTCTGTAAAAAACATTAAAAAATCTGAAAAGGGCTTATTTTTATAAAGGCAAGTTTATGAACATATAGTCACCTAATTTCCAATTCAAATAATATTTATGTAGTATCTAGGTACTTATACACTTAGTCTTTTTTTTTTTTTT